AATCTTCAGTCATCCTCTAGTCTTTCATCAGTGGTCACAGGACGCAGCCCACAGGACACTGTTGGCTGTCTATTTTTGGTTGGTACACTATTCTATGTCCAGCAGCGACACTGAGGTGTTTAAAAAACTCCAGCAGCACTGCTGTGTCTGATCTACTCGTACCAGCACAACACACACTAACACGCCACCACCATGTCAGTGTCACTGCAGTGCTGAGAATGATTCACCACCCAAACAACAACTGCTCTGTGGTGGTCCTGACCATTGAAGAACAGGGTGAAAGAGGGCTAACAAAGTATGCTGAGAAACAGATGGACTACAGTCTGTAATTGTAGAGCTACAAAGTGCACTTATATGGTAAGTGAAGCTGATAAAACAGACAATGAATGTAGAACCAAGAAGGTGTATTTAATAAAGTGGCCGGTCGTTGTATATCTTGAGTTTCTTGTTGAATGACATTTTCTAGCCAAACCCCTTTTTGATCTCCTTTTTGTGCCTCAGAGGTCAGATCGGTGGAGGAGAGCACGGAGCTGGTAGTAAATGCCTCCGCTACTATCAACAATTTGTCATACTACCAAGAAGAGAGCTCTGTGGTCCGTGCCCAGCATACACACATCTCTGAATGTAAGAGAAAAGAAATGAGATGATTGTGTGAAAATTATGCTTGTTATGTCATCTAACTATTTTCTATCTTTGTATGCAGTGTTGTTAAGGTTGTTGTTAAGCTCTAATATGGATGCTGTGTTGGAGGCCACCCGTGTGTTTGGTAACCTCTCTCAGGTCAAAGACGTACGGATCTTCATCATCAAGAACAAAGGTGCGTTTCACAGACTGATCACACTTTCCAAAATGGTTAGAAAACGTTTTAACGTTTAGAAGGTCATTTATTTATTTACTTATTTCCAACTATGACAGAAAACACAAGAGTTTAAATTTAGTTTTTTTCTCATTACATATAGATTGATGCAGAGACACCAAAACGTATCACATGTATTAAGTTCATTGTGTTAGGAAACAAAATGTCAAACCAAGTGGCATTTATGTTATGCACACCATTCCAAGACCATTCAAAAAGAAACTGTTTCAGATTTTCATTCTGCTGACAGCTCCATTTCTGTTGTTTGAGCAAATATTTTGCAGACTTCTGCAAGTTTGCATTCAAAATACCTTTGTATATTTCTGAGTTCATGATTGCATCAATGTACAGGAGCTCACCAATAGTCCCAGACTGCTTAGTCTTATTGGAATACTTTCTCCACACGAAGTCTACCATCAGTTTGGCATTGTGCTAGAAGTACTTCAGATATGATTTTGTTAAATACCTCATGAACCTAAAAAACTTCATAAAACCTACAACATGTAAGATTTGGGGATTTGGAGACCTCACTGGTAGAAATGTGTAATCACACGATTTGTGTGGAAGAACATTTTGTAATGCTGGTTGTGCTTCAAAACGCTTCACTGAGCAGTTGATGATTGTGAATGCATTGAAAAAGTATTCAAGAACTTAGCCAGAACTTGTTGAATGTCATGTCATCCAAGAACATAAGTGAATTATCTAGTACTGTTGTCATATCTTCATCAGTATAACGCTGATTTTGTATTTGAGACCTAAACATCAAGCCAGACCATCTTTTTGAGCCTGCGCTCGTGAGGTTGACACAAAGACATATGACGTGGTCCAAAAAACACCTCTGACTTTTAAATGGTTATTTCTGGCTTTACATGGTGATTTGCAGCAGCGCACACAGATGTTTTTATATGTTTTGTCCTGACTCATTAATGCTAATTCTTTCAATTTTAACAAAAAAACATACATAGTGCAGCTTTTTTAACAATGGTTGAAGTGTTCAAATACATTTTGGAACCACTGTATATTGTACATATGATGTAAATGTATGACCTGACGTATAAAAAGACATGTATGTGTTTATACCCCTTGTGTTTTAGTGCACCAGTTTGTGGTGACCCTATTGGACTCCAAGAACCCTGATGTGTGTTTCTCAGCATGCGGAGTCCTCATGAACCTCTCTGTGGATTCAGAGAACAGAGCCATGCTGAGAAAAGAGGGAGCCATACAAAAGTAACACTATTCAGCACAGCAGCAGGATTTAATTTGTGCAAATTTACTGCATCTCCTTTACTTTCTCTCATCTTCTCTCTCTTTCATTTTCTCTCTGTGCAGGTTGATCGACTGTCTGCGGGACTTCGGGCCTCAGGACTGGCAGTTGGCTGGTCTAGTGTGTCAAACTCTCTGGAACTGCATTGAAGATGGAGAGGAACAGTACATGCAAGAGCTGCTGGAAATACTCTGTCTTTATTCAGGTACACACACATACAGCATGCTGAAGAACAGAATGGTGCACTGTTGGATCTGCTGTCTTTGCATTTCAGGCCAATCTGTGAACAGATTGGACAGCTATAGGGAATATTACTTCTGAACCTGCACCAAGACTAACTTGGTGAGACTGAATTTGAACAACTAATCCCTCCATAAGAGACCAGTAAATACAGAATTTCTAGAGTTAAATCTGTCTTTAAAGTTCTAACCGGACACTACCATCATTTCAAATATATTTATACCATCTGACAACCGTTCACCAGTGTCAAAGGTCCGTAATAAAGTAGTGGGAGAGCAGGGCACGAACTAACTTGGGTAACATGGATATTTTATGTAGTTAAACAGCTTCAAGTGGAATGTGCTTTTGGTCTTCTCATATTTCTTCTCATAGCAATTATGTCTGTAAATTTTGCCTATAATCAAATAGATATTTCTCGAAATTCACACCTGAAGACTGTTTTTGTACCATAAAAGTAACTTTTTTCATCATCTCCAGTGACTTTTTTTCCTTTGTTACTCCAGTAAGCACAAATGCAGTGGCAGTGAAGACAGCACTGCTTTTTACTGTTCTAAATGTTTAAATTTCTACATATTAAAAAAAAAATGTGACACTTTACTGACACAATTAGTTGTTCATCATAAACATTATGCTTTCATGTGCAAATGCATGAAGATCAATCATAGCTTGAGTATTTACATCTGGGTTGATGAAAGTTGTTAACCGTCTTCGTAAAACAAGTTAATGGTGATTTCATGTGTCAGGAACTCTATGCTGAGCTTTGTGAGACAGGCCCCTTGTCTGGTTTGAATGACATAAAATTGTATTAAATGAATTGTGTTTGCATCGATTAAATAGACTTTACAGTGACTGTTACAACTAGCCCCTCAATCTGTGACAATGCCACCTCTGGGGTTCATTGTAATGTTTGCACTTTCGGTTGAATTGTTCATAAACGTTAGGCGTTAGATGTGCAGGTTGCTTGTGTAAAAAAAGTATTAATTTTGCTCAAGTACTTTTAATTTTTTTATGCAAAAACCAAAATGTGTTCGGTTGTATCTTCCCCAGCTTGTGAAAATGACATTGTGTTTGACTGGATCTGACTTGTTGAAAGGGATGTGAATTATTCCCTGCTGTCTACTTACAGACCAGAAATGTTTGCAGTGGCCCTCTAGTGATGACGTCAAAGAGTACCAAGAGTCATGCTGGGAGCGAGACTTTTTGCCTGTTGCTCAGAAGCTGAAGAAACGTATACGACGCCATGTGACCTTACTGGAACCAATCAGCGGGGCCTCCTGATCAACCATTCACCACATTTGAAGTATATAGTGTGTGACAGATCAAGGAATTTTTCAGGGTATTTACTGACTGCACTTTGTTTACAATGTTTTTGTATCTGCCAACGCAAATGAAGAAACTATTTTAAACGTCACCTAAAAAGAATTCACGGAAACCTGTTAATACTGTCAAACATGCACCTGATATGTAGCATAAAGAAGGAACACTGAGTGAGGACATTGTGAATGTCTCTGGACTATGCTATAAAATGAATGAAGTGTGATGTTCTCTTTATTTTCCATTATTATAGTTTCATACGGTGATTGTTGTAGCAGAGCTTGGTTGGTGCCCTTTGAAGAATTGAGAAACGTGAAACTCATGATTTGGAGAGCATGTTCTACAGCTGCCAAGGCACTCAGCGGCACAACTTAATAACACAAAAGACGCTTCTCATTTAGATATTGGGTGATGTAGTGCTTATGCAAGGTAAGCGTAAGGTAAGGCTAAAGCGTAAGGCAAAGTAAATACAGGAAGCTATCTTGAGCATACCTGTGGTCACACAACTGTGTCCGAAACTATAAGCCCACATTGAAAACCTGGGATTCTTTTCCATTTAAACCTGGAAGTAAACAGAAAGTTTTTTTTTTAGAATAAAAAAAAATTAGGACAAAGAAAAGTTATGACAAATAAAACAAAGATGAAATATTCAAGGTTCTGCGCTACTCCTAGGTCACTGTTCAAGTTTAAGCAAATTTGTGACATTGACCGTGTCAAGGCCTTTGTACAGAAATGTCAGATATTTTATCCCTTACAGTCATATGCAAAAGGTTGCAAAAATAATTAAAATGTTAATTGTGTCCTGTGCAAAGGTTATGCACTTTCTCAGTAAAAATTCAGCAAATAGAAACTGTGCACTCAAATATGTATTTAAGTTTGCTCCCTGTAGTGAATGTATAACTTATTTTAACTTGTTAATTTGACTGGGGCACCCAGACATTTGCATACAGCTACATCCCTTCCATCGAAGATTCAATCTATGGATTAGAGGCTTTAGCTAAAAATGTGTGGAGCTTATGTGCATGCAGTTATTAAAGAAAAAGGGGGACATACCAAATACTAAGAGATTCTGTGATTCATGTACAAATTTCAAAGAAAGATTTTACTTTTTACTCAAATTGCTATTCTGGTAATATAATTGTAATAAAAATGCATTAAATAGAAAAGAATGTAAAATAGAAGCATTTCCACTAGTGGTCTCAGGCTTTTGGATCCCACTGTAAATGCCTTCAGTCTCAGTTTTGTCTGGACCATTCAATGACCCTTCTTTCCACAAACATATGAAGAGAATCACAATGATGTAAATGACATCCAGGAGCACTTCTGTGATCTCAAGAGCTTTATTAAAGAGATACAATTCCAAGAAAGTCTGGAAGGTACACAGAACAGAGTTATAATCTCATGAAACAGTTACGTCAAACTCATACAAAATGGCACTGGTTTCTTCCCCCACACAATCCTTTAATGCTAACAATAACACTTTACTACTACCATCTGCACAATTACCTATCACGGCACTGAACCACTGCTCTGCAACCACTTTCTTGTGCTGAAAATATTCTAATTCACAGGACCAATAATTGACCAAAACATGATGGGCTTTAAATTGAGATCTCAATTTAAATGCATAACATGCTTGAGGACAAACGAGAAGCAGTGGGCAAAGTCCCAAACCAACTAGGAGATTTACTTGGAGCCTCTTCACAGGAGGGCAGCTCAATTTCTGCATCTGCATGTTTATCACTGCATAGCAGGGAATGACCACATCCTTATGTAGCCCATACTAGCTGTTTTGGTGACTGTGTGGACCATACTAAACTGTACCATTTGCAAGTTCTAGGACTTGTCATGTTTATGATTATCACTCATGATGAATCATGTTTTGTGACAGTCACAAAACATAGTCTTTATTTATTTATTTCTTCATGTTATGGGGTTAAAGGTTTTTTTAATGATGTAAAGACATTTAGATTGTTCAAAGAATTGTCATGACTAGTGCTGAATGGCTGTATTTATCTCAGGTGTCTCCATACTGACATTGGATGTGATTGTTTTTGATGCAATTAAAACTTGTTAGAAAAAAAAAAATACTTCCTGAAATACAAATGATACACAGTGATTAAATGGGTTTTTATTTATTTATTTATCAAGTTTTTTGTGTTCGTTTGTTGAATGTTATCTTATAAAAATGTCAGTAACTGACATCAGTCTCTGAAAATTGATTTTAAAAAAAACCCTCATTTGTTTCTTTACATCCATTTTCAAAAGGAAAAGTACCATCCCTCTCTCCTTCTTTATTCCATTTTGCCACTCTACACCTGACTGTTCCAGCCACCATCAGAATGCAGTACTGGATTGGTTTTAGCAAACAAAAACAGAAGACAGCAGAGAATCTATCCTGCTTAAAACACACACACTCAACATAACAAAAAAAAGCTGCTTAGTTATACTGGTTAAAGTTCTGAAACAAGAACAAGCACTGTCTATGTCACGACTGCACAGTCGTTTAGGGGAGCCTGGATTTAAGCAGGATGAAGCCACACCAGGCAAACCCCACAAAAGAGAAAGTCCTGCTCACCAAAGAGCACTTAAGATACCTAAAGAGATACATAACAGGAGGTATATCATTATACTGACAACTCCAAAATAACAAAACAATAGCTTTCAGGAGTTAAGATGACCATGCGGTAAAGGGAAGACAGGTGAGGGGTTGGGGGCAGAGTCCAGAGCAACAGGAAGCACATCACAAAGGAAGACTATTTTCATTTTTTCTAATTTTTTTTTTCTTTGAAATTGCTCATTTGTCACTCGGACAACACAAAGTGAGTTTTAGGAAATGGTCACTAAACCTAAAATGGCTACATTAGGGCTGAAGCATATCTTGATTTTCTGAAAAAAAGTGCCTTGATATTTTTTAAGCCTGAAATACCAAAAAAGGCAAAGATAAATTGTGTTTATGTATATATATATATATATATATATATATATATATATATATATATATATATATATATATATAAAACACATTACAACACATGTTGGTAAGCAGAGACAGAGTGGTGACTTACAGTAAACCAAAAAAAAGGGCTCAGACAGCTATTTCTTTTGAATATCTCTCCCCCGTGCGCACACACGCACACTCTCACACATACACACTTCACTTCTCACTCCCAGTCGCATCCTCTCCATCACAAACATCCTCAAGTTAGCTTATTAAATGGGTTATGGTTTGGGTGTTTGGAGGCCCATGCCTCTCAGTTGAGAAAAGCAGCATTAACAGACAGCACCTCTGCGTTCGTCTCCAGTGCTGTTCATGACTAGGCACACGTTTATGCAGCTTCAATAATGCTCTTCTCTCCAGTCACCTGCACTACAAAAATTATATGAAAACAAAAACGATAATAGGCATGTTAGTGCAGTCTGTCTGCACTGATACTGGAGTTGTGATATATATTTTTTTCCTTTCACAAAAAAAGAAGATATGATTGAGTAGCATCTTAATGCAGATGCATTTGAAACACTAGGAGGAGGGCTGGCCTCCATTCGCTTGCAGTCTCAGGCTGTCCCAATGCAGGGGGTAAGCCAACACACCCCCCCCGTGGCGGGCTTTGGCACTGCAGGCCGAGCAACCACACATTTCAGTCAGAAAGTACGCTCAGATGTCTTCTCTCGTGATTTTTTTTTTCCTTCTTCCGTCATCCACCACGAAGACGATAATCCTCCTCATCCTCCACGTTCGGCCTCTTTACCATTCCTTTCGTTTTTGTTTTTCTTTTTTTTTGTTGTTTTTACTTTTATTGAATTGTCCCATGAAAGCAACAACAACGACAGTAAAAATACAAGAACAAACTATAACAGCACTTCATGTCATGTAGCGAGTGATAGCTCTTAGAGCATAGAGCAGTTCTGCCTGCATGCGCGCTTCCATAAGAAGCAAATTAACATGGACCTGTGAGAAAAGCAGAAAAGCAAAGGTATTAAGATCAGAACTTCCCCCCCAAAAAATAAAAAGGTCAGCAAACTCAAAACACTATTCATATACCATAAGTGTATTTCGTTTACCTTCTCAGAGTGCTGGAACTGCCTCCAGAAACTCTCGTACATCCTCTTGGTAGTCTTCTCGGGGCTACACACCATAGTCTTAATGTAGACTTTAAAGCTGCGGTCCAACAGCTCATTGATCTCCCCATAATCATAATCATCATATCTGTCAAGTGGAACAAAGAGAGCGCGAGAGAGATATTAGCATATACCTAAAAGTGAATCCTGATATTGTAATTTGCAGCCAGACCGACTAAAGAACTGACCTGATGCCAAACATGCAATGAATGTAGTTCCAGATGGCTCGGCGGAGCATGGAAGTGTCCACACCCTGGTGCGTGGCCATGGTGTTGTAGGTCAGATTATATGCAATCTGGAACTTCTCGTCGAGCAGCTGGCCAACGTCCGGATACAGCCGGTTCACCAGGGAGAAGCCATGGTCCTCCCAACTGTAGTCCTGGCAACGGCATACAACATCCCGATCAGTCCACCTTTCCATCTCATTAGACTAATGAGACCTGATTGAAAGAAGCGTCCGCTGGCCGTCATTTTGTCTCTCCTCACTCACCTGGACTCTGAAGGTAGGCACATGCTCTCCTCTTCTAGAGAAGTCCTGGTAGCCATAGCTGGGGTCCTCGAAGTGCCGTGACACATCTCTGGATGGCACACACTCCTCGTCCTCTGTGGGTAACAAACGCATAAATACAGTCACTTCATGCAGAAAGTGGTTGTATTTTTCAGCAAAGTGTGAATATCCTCCTCCATAAACTTTTACATATGTCTGTGTGAACAGTAACTCTTACCAGCTGTTGCCACTAGCATGCTCTCAGTCTTCTCCCGCTCAAAGCGTGTTGCCATTTCCTCTTGACTGGCCTCCTCTTCATCACGACACTCCTGGAGCTGCTTCATCCTCTCCATCAGCACTTCAACCTCCCCGGACACTTCTGCGACCTGGACACAGCAAACAGAAAGGAGTGTCATTCTGTGTTTACAGTGACACACAGGATGTTAATCTAGATCTTGCATGCTCTTTACTCTTATCAGCAAAAAAGCTGCTGCATTGCTCTAAAAGGGCTTACATGAGTGAGTGATCACTCGCTCTCACCTGTTGGTTTCCCAGCATCTCCTCCAGAGCCCCATTGCCATTGGCGATATCGCACACACAGTAGCCGCTGAGGGAGGGGGGTCTGAAAGTGTGTCCTCCTTCGGTGTGGATGTCTGGGGTGATCCCACAGCCAAAGGTAAATGAGGCCAGCGAGTGGTAGTGTGTAAGCAGCACTACGGCATGGATCAGCTCCGCCAAAGACCAGCTATTCTCCTCTGCCTTCAGTAGACTCTGTCAGTGTAAGACAACATTAATCAAACCCACATTTATTCCACGAGTATAATTCAACAAGTCCTGCATAATAAAATAGTAATTACAACCAAACGCTTATAATAAATTACAAAGTTATGTTTGTGGAGAGCTGCCAACATTTTTATCTCCATTAAATGATTTATCACTCATTTACCTAAATGTAGAGCCAAATGTCCAATGAAAACCTATGAAGGTCAATAAAAGTTAACCATTTTACCTACTTTATGTGATAAAGTTGCCCAAATTATACGACCTTCACTGCAAAAGCAGCTGCCAATCAGGGCTTTTAAAGTACCACAGTGGCCATTTAAAAATCTCACTGAGGTCATAGCTGTTATATAACAGCTGTGGGCAGGAGAGAACTTGTGACTTTAGCGGCGTGATGTCATACCTCAATGTGCATTTTGGTGAGCAACCATGGCCGGTGTGCCAAAATTTTGTTAAGCTCTCCGAGTGCCTGCAGCTTCTGTGGGGCTCCTTCAAGACCGTTCAGCCACTTGGGGTCTCCCCCAACCTGCAGGAAATCATTCACGTGCAGGTTGACCAAATACGAACACTGGTGCCTGGCAGCAGCCTGAAGAAGATGAACATGAACACATTTAGATGTAATTTTGTTGCAGCAGTTGCCCTTTATGCATAAATTTGCATCAGAATGCTTCTTTATTGAGAATATCATCTCTGCTGCATGCTTACCATTATGCCAATGTAATGCCTGTAGTGCAGGGATAAGGGCCCATCCATCTGAAGCAGGTAATGCTGTGTCCTCAGGAAACACTCCAGATACTGAGGGTGGAAGCCCATTACCAGGGAGATGTTATCAAGGCGACCGAGGGAAAAGGCCTCCTCAAATATGGATTGCGTTCTGGCATCCACTTTGCTCACTTGAAGGATCTGAAACAAGAAAAACGGTTTCATTCTGTTTTCTTACTAGCAGAAAGTAACTGGGAATTTTGTAGGGGAATTAGATTAATCACTGCCTCGACTAACAAAACAGAAAGGAAAAATGTTAACTTTAGTGAATTCAAGCAAACATAATGTGTGTGCTTAGGCTAACCTCTTTCTCTGGGATGAATCTACTTGGTCCGTTTCCCAGTGGTCTGGGGATTCGCACTCCAATGTCCTGCAAAAAAAAAAACAAATCCAGTTAAGTATGATGAAATCAAAGCCCCAGATTGTCAACCAAGGCGCTGAAGCATCTGAAAACTAACCGACAGTGAGGTTTAATCTAAAAAGTATAGCCAAGTGTTTCTGGCAGCAAGCCCAGAACCCTAAAAACTGCATATCCTTCCTCACTTCAAACAGATCCCCACCCCCAAAGCGCAGTCTCTGGAGACCCCTGCTAAAATCTAGATTTTGCCCAAAATGAAAAACACATTCTGATAATCTGTTGCGACACTGGGACCTTGAGCAGTTCCCATTACAAGAAAACAACCTGTCAAACAGCACACAGAGCATGATTTAAAATCCACCTCAGCTTAGAGAGCTCTTTTTCCCCCCTTTGACGGTATGGCAACGAACAAAGGCGAAAGGCTTTGGTAATATCACATATCACTAAGACAAACAACCTCCACCAATCCGAACTATGTCAGCGGGTTAATCAATTAAAACCAGCCATTTGAACTTGAATCATCTGGTCTCTGTCCTTCGAAGCAGTTGTCTGGCTTGCGTTATTTTCCCCTGCGCTGTACAGCTGAGTGAATGAATGACCTAGCACTGCAGAGCTCATTTCTCATTTTCTTCAAAAACACTACAAAATAGCTAATGACACTCTCACGACACAGACGTTATAAGCCAACAGGCAAAATCCTTGTTAAAGAATTGCACTGAAAGCCGGAGAGAGAAAAACAAGCGAGCTGGGAACACGTAAACAGGGTAACACAAAGAAAATCTGCAGAGCCGTCGCAAACAACCCAGCGCTGGTGGAACTTGAACCTGACTGACAACCTCAAGTAATGAAAAAAAACGACAAAAAAAAACCTTACAATCACCGGCCAGAAATAACATCAACCGTTTTGTCAGCTTTCGTCCTTACCTTTTTACTAAGCCGCTCGCACTGTGTGCAAATTTTAAACAGGTTTGTCACTGTTAAAGAAGTGTTTTTCACTGTGTCGTTATCTGCTGACGCGTGCCTCATCTTGTGCTTGTTTGTTAGTTTGTTTCTGGAATTTTCCGTTACTTCGTTTTTCGTGAAAAAAGTAGATAGGCTGCCTTTGTCTTAGCTCCGTCTTTTTTGTTCCTTGAGGCATCGGTTCTCTTTGCCTTGCCAGCTCTTGGAGCTCCGGAGCGGAATGGCCACTGTTCACCGGCCCTCTAGTGGTAAATAAGACGCTCCAGCGCTACTGACGCGCCTGCCAGCCAATCGCCTTTCGAAAACAACCAACGCTCATCCAATCACTGGCGGAGCGGGGCGGGACTTTAGGAGGGGCTTGCGCCAGCTAATGGATAGAAACGTGAGCAGAAGAACGATTCTGATAACATTAACATCTAACGTCCTCAACCTTTTGTTCACGCCAGACTTATTTAGATCCATTTCAGTTATGTGTTAACTATTCCTGCACTGTTACAGCCTCTTAGGCAAACACAAAGGTACAATACAAGTCTCTCCATCTCTGATAGTGTCCCTCTGTTATCTGAGGTTATTTGCGAAGCTGTTAAAAACCTTGCTTCATCTTCAGACACTAAAGCCTGATCAAGCAATCCACAGATTCTTACGTTGCTGAGTCTACATTAGGTCACTGCAGAAAGTACAGAAAGCATTTAAGGCAGTAAACTTTTAAGTCAGAGGAGGGGACTTCTTCTGGGGGCAGTAAATAAGGCAGAGCAAGGCTGAGCAACATGATGGCATACCTGCAGCACAACAGAAAAACAAGCCAAGATCAATCTTTGCCTTCCGCTTTATGGCACAGTGAGGCAATGGGCCACCCTGAGATAAGGTGATTGATTCTTTTCTGGAAAGAATTCATCTGAGTGGGGGTTGCTTTCCTTGAATGCATGCACTTAACCATTGTTCTATCATCTCCCATTCTCCTCATGTTTTTCATCACCAAACCTGTTGTATGACAGTTGTTTTTCCCCCGCCAGACAAAGTATATACAGTCATACAGAAAGAGCTCTAATAGGCAATATTGTTGGTATTATTCTTAAGTTAGTCTCCAATGTGTCTGTCTTCAACTGTACAGCAAACACAGTCAAACAATGACACTGTTATCTATTAGGATGCCATGTATATAACGTCATCTATTAGGATCGCAAGATGAGAAGAGTTTTTCAACTCTGACAAACAGCACCATCTCAGAACAACTGCTGCTATCCCTTTCTACTTTTGAGGTGTGACAGTGTGAAAGTGTATTGCCCAACTATAGACTCACTTTCATTCAGTTTTCACTTTTCAGTGACAGCCTACCACAGAAGTAGGAGATGTAGAAGAGAGCATGAAAAGCTACCAAACAAATTAAATAGTACTACAAGTGGCGTAATGATGGCAGCGCACACTGTCCGTGCACGTCGGTCCGGCACGGCCTGGCCGATGGAGAGTAGCTATTCAGCATGTTCATTGTGTCCACGGGCTCCCCCCACTCCGCTCCGAGGGTAAAGGGGGGGTGTAAACAGACCGGAGCCAGAGTCAGCACTCTCTGAGGGGTGGTGGGCGAGCCCCACTGAGCCCTATGGCTCAGCAAACCCACAGAAGAGACCGGTCAGCGTTTGCCTACCCCCTTCCCCCCGCCCTCCCGGCCATCCCTTTCTCTTTATTAAAAAAAAGAGCTCGGCCAAAATGATTGTCTGTGAACAAACTTTAGGCTTTACTGTACTCACGCTATATCACAACACTGAGCAACAACTTTGTTAACCGGCAATATGGCTCATTTGATAGGCCAACAGCTTTAGCACCTGAGGACACCTTTCTGTTCTAAATGCAAATGAGCAAGAAACTGCAATATAAAGCTCAGTGTTTTCAGTGATTGCATCATTTCCACAGTGTGAAGTCTTTACCAGCACACTGAGAATGTCACATGATTAATTTTATCAAAGCTAGGCTTCACTTCTAGTTTGAAAGATCTTGTCATTCCAATGCCTCACATGTCTCTAGAAGGCTAATAAAATTATGCCATGCACCCTAAGCCTAGTGTTTATTAGCATAAAATGCTTTATACTGCAAATACTAATAAAGCACACATTTTAAAGGCTTTTGCATAACCTGTTCTAGCTGAAATGAATAAAGGAAATACTGTTTAAAGTGGCCACATGGTGGTGATTAAGAAATAGACCACAAGTTTTTTTTAGTGCATAAGCTACAGATGAAGTTAAAAATAGCCTAGTTAAAGGAGACCAAAACGTGTGCCTCTGCAACGGTTTTAGAGGTCTCGGGGCAAGAGCGTATCTGTGTTTGCAGAGGTGGATCTCTGTGTGAATGCGGCTCTCAGCTCTGTTTTCTTTCTCATGCTGAACGAGCAGCCACGCTAAAACCACAGGCTGTCGGATGTTCAACAAGTGGCAGAAAAAAAGTTATCTGACGCAGCCCTCCTCTCAACCAGTTCCAACCTGACCTATCGCAGAGCCGGGGGAAGACAGAGAGAGAGAAAAAAATAGAAAAGCCACAATGACATAAGCCTAGCAACAGGAGTCAGCCAATCACAGGCCAGAATAACAGTCTCAGGGTCCAATCTCTTTTTGCGTCTCAACTCCCCCATTCTAGTTCCTCAAACAGGAGAAAAAAGTCAAACTCCAATATGAAGTTGTATGCACAGGCCTAGCCACGGTCTCTGTGGAGGATTGATAGATTTTTATGAGCAAACGTGCCTGCTGCCTAACTCGAAGGCTTTTGTGCGCTGCAGGAGTGTTTAGAGTTGGACTAAAAGCAGCAGTGAACTTTAGACTATATGGCGTGACAATCCCCAGAATAAAAAAGAGGAAGAGAAAAATGTCCTTCCAGTTGCCCACGTCAACTGTGCTGAACTTATTGTTTCGCTTTATTGCATGTCGCTCGCTCCAGCGGGCCTCAAACTTGTTATTCTTTCGAGAGACAAGGGTCTCTTTAAAGTCTGTTCAACAGCGGGGAAAGGAAGGGGTAATTCAATACCATACATTCATACATGTTGTCACTGCAGTTGCAGTCTCTCTCTCATTCTCTTTCTTCTCTCTCATAAGTTCAAAGTGTAAGAACTTGCCAATTCATTCAGTGGTCCTCCACCCCTCTTCCATTGTTTTGTTCCCCCTCTCTTACACACACTCTCTTTGGTCCTTGCAGTCACAGAATAAGGTCTAGCAAGGGACTTTTAAATACCATGTTCATGAATGAACACAGTTTCACTGACTGTTCAGACTGGACAAAATAAATTGCAAGGATCCACTACAGATAGGTCAATTAGCAGTAAAATAAAAGGAGATATAATTTAGGCAATATTTAAACTAAACAAAGCAATGAGGTACCTTGCATATTGGATCTATTAAAAGTACTGAAATGGCCAAAAATCTTAAAATGTTAAAGGGGAAAATTTCCGTTAAAGTCATTGATGTGTTACGCACCATTCTAGTGAAACTTACAGAACCGTTGATAGAAACAAGATGTCCGACGTATTTAATGCCAGTGAAAGCAATCCCACAGAAAGCTATTACAGAAAAGAGGTTATGAATACGTTGCCTGGTGTCTTGTTTTTGCTATCGTTTTGTGATAAGGAATCGTAAATCAAAATAGTACCCAAAGAAAGTTTTTTTTTTTGTTTTTTTTTTGCTTTTTACCATTATTTCACAGTTATATATAAAAACTCTAAAGACTTGTATGTCCACTGGTCATTTCAGACAGAAAATAAAATGGCTATATTTGATCCCTGGTTCCTATCATCACCACTGTAAAAAAAATTTAGTTTTAAAGAGTTTATTAGCAGATATTAGCATTTACCTTCATCTAATGCTCTGAATTGAGTTCACAAAGGCCTTGCTAATTGGCACATGAGCTGAATCAGGTCTTTTTAATGAGGCAGCATGCTAATGTCTGCAGTGTTTTGCCCGCAAGGACACATGCTATAAAATGTATATAAGGTGTGAAACCACACAAGCAAATCCATTTGAGATTATCTAAAAAGGCAATTTAGGGCAAGTGTGGGATGATTAAGACATACAGTTTGCACAGTGTCCAGCAGACCCTTTTCACACTTCCACATTCAAAGCAGTGGAAGGAGTCATAGTACAGAAAACACTACAGCAGCGGCGTTCACGAATGAGGAGTCATGTTTTTCCAAAAAAAAATGTAGCTTGCTATGGCAACTCCCAAACTGCACAAGACTGACTGTATTCTAGTAAACATGAGACAGCTAACTTCAACTGACCTTACTGGGTAACAAGTAAAGCTTGTCGACCTTGTCAAGCTTGCTCCTCTCTGAAAATGAAAACTGTGAAAAGAAAATTTAAGTAGATACCGTAATAACGATGCAAGTCCTCTACATCAGAGACATAAAGACTTTGTCTACATTCTCACAAATGCAACCACTGCTGTAATGTTTTCTCTATACTGTTAGAAATAAAGGTACTGTGCAGGTACATTTTTTGTTCATCAAGGTACAAACAATGCAAATGTACCTTTGTGCCTTTTCATAAGCTAATGTTTTAAAACAGAGCAATAAAATAAAAAGCCTGGAGATGAGATGAGATGTGTGGAGTCAGTACAACTTAGAAAACATATTTTCAATGCATTATCATACAGTTATGTTCCCTGACCAAAGGTACTAAGATATACCCTTGAGGGTACCACCCCAGTGACAAGAGGGGTACTGCCTCAGTGAAGTTTAGTACCTTTTTTTCTGAGAGTGTACTATGGCAGCAAGTGCTGTGTCGAATACAGATGTTTGAAAAGGAGGGCATGTTGGTGGGGTACAGTCCATTACTTGTTAGCTACATTAGCCTTCTAGCCTCAGCGCAAAATTAAAGAAGGAAACTTCGGACTCCAAACTCATCTTCATTGATGAACGACTTTTAAGGTAAGAGAAAAATGCTGTTAATTTTAGTTTTGGCTCAACCATTGCTTGAACTGTTTCACCAACAATATCCTGTGTCTCCACCGTTTCTAACATTTTAACTTTTCTTTATATCTCTGTACAATTTCTGCCTGATGATCTGTGCTAAGACAATCCAGTCCAGCACAACATTCAGTGACCGATAAAGAACTGACTTACTGGCTCACTCTCAGTCAGTCTTTGTTTGTAACCCTGCCTGTTTGGCCATTTGGCTCGCTAGCAGATCCACCTTTTCCTCTCCTCCAGTCTTATATTCTCTGTCCAGAGCTACTCTCTCTAGCCCTCTTTGCTTGTCCTCTCTTC